GCAATAGGATCCTTCAGGATGGAGACGGGGGAAAGGTCCAGTAAATATGTCACATTTACCAGCCCTTTCCTTTCCTGAGTGAACACAATGAGTGATTGGTAACAATCCCATTCATAACTGAAGCATAGTAAATTTATTTTTTTTTTTTTTTCGAGGGGGCCCTGTCAGGTTGACTGTATGGGGCCTTGTGGTTTCTAACAGCAGCCCTGCTTGTTGTGCAATACACTACAATTCGATTTTCAAAAATAATAAAACAAGACACAAAGTGGGAGATCTACTAAAACTGGAGCACTCTGTTGCAGCTGTGCATGGTACCCAATCAGCTTCTAACTTCAATTAGGCTTTGATCATAAAACCTGGAAGCTTCTAAGGTTTCTATGCAGAGCTGCAGCAAATTTTGCATCCTCCAGTTTTAGTAAATCAACCCCATACAGTATGTATACTATGCCTTAAAATCTTCCATTATCAACCTTTACGATACCTGAGCTCTCCACAGCTCATCCCTCTCCTGTGCCACCCTCCAATGAGTGTCTCCCATCATGGCGATCAGCAGATTCAGCATCAGGAGGTTGGCGAGGATGGTGAAGGAAAAATAAATAATATGAAAAATAAATGGAAGGTCCACATCATAGTTGGTGGGGGCGTTGATGACATTGAGAAAAAACTCAAAGGTGCTGAAAATAGTCATGAGGTAGTCATAGAACCATCCAAACTGTTTGGGGTCTTCTGTCTGGAAGATGACGTAAAATGCTGGCAGAAGGAAAATACAACAAGATCAATAAACATTTTAAAATACTGGCTTATGTGCATTCTGGTGCCTCAATGCCGCATTGTGGGAACACGGGTTGCAGTGGTCATAGCCAAGCCTTGGCTCCTGTGGGACTAGATGGGTTTCTCTGCAAATATGTAGATTGATTGCAATGCATCCCCAGTACAATGTGCAGTACCAGCATCTTACAGGTTCAGGGAATGGAGCCAGGTGTCGAGATTATGTAACTCCAATGTGCATGTGCTTGAGTTAAATTATTTCCCCTCCCAATTGGTGAGGCAGTAGGCAGCAAGGAAGGTGTTCCATCATCACCGGTTACTGTATCCAGGATCACCAGATAATGGACAAAGGGGAGTGGGGAGAATTGGAGTGTTATAACAACTTGTGGCTATACAACTGAGTTTCTCTGGTCACATTTGTTGTAATATGTGGAATTATAGTGCAAGTCTACACAAAACTAACATTTCAGTATTTGGTAAATGCTGGAACATTCATCTACATCAGCGGTGGTGAACCTATGGAACACATGCCACAGCAGGCACGCTGAGCCCTCTCTGTCGGCACGTGAGCCAAGTCACCCCAGCATTGTCCCAGCAGCCGAGCATCGGATAACAGCGCACATAAGGACCATGTGCATGCTCAGAGAGGAGTAGTGCGCCAGAAGATGATGTCACGAGCTGATCCAAGCTTTCGCATGGCCAGTCAGTGCGCGGTCAAGGATATATATATTGGACTAGCTGTGAGTGTTAATGCATTCGTTTTTATTAACACAAGATGCCCCCTTGTGCTGGTGATCAGTGGAACTTTGCCCCCTTGTGCTGGTGATCAGTGGAACTTTGCCCCCTTGTGCTGGTGATCAGTGGAACTTTGCCCCCTTGTGCAGGTGGTCAGTGGGACTTTGCCCCCTTTGTGCAGGTAGTCAGTGGGACTTTGCCCCCTTGTGCAGGTGGTCAGTGGAACTTTGCCCCCTTGTGCTGGTGATTAGTGGGAATTTGCCCCCTTGTGCAAGTGGTCAGTGGGACTTTGCCCCCTTGTGCAAGTGGTCAGTGGGACTTTGCCCCCTTGTGCAAGTGGTCAGTGGGACTTTGCCCCCTTGGGCAGGTGGTCAGTGGGACTTTGCCCCCTTGTGCAGGTGGTCAGTGGAACTTTGCCCCCTTGTGCAGGTGGTCAGTGGAACTTTGCCCCCTTGTGCAGGTGGTCAGTGGAACTTTGCCCCCTTGTGCAGGTGGTCAGATGAACTTTGCCCCCTTGTGCTGGTGATCAGTGGAACTTTGCCCCCTTGTGCAGGTGGTCAGATGAACTTTGCCCCTTGTGCTGGTGATCAGTGGAACTTTGCCCCCTTGTGCAGGTGGTCAGTGGGACTTTGCCCCCTTGTGCAGGTGATAAGTGGAACTTTGCCCCCTTGTGCTGCTGGTAAGTGGAACTTTGCCCCCTTGTGCAGGTGGTCAGTGGAACTTTGTCTCCTTGTGCAGGTGGTCAGATGAACTTTGCCCCCTTGTGCTGGTGATCAGTGGAACTTTGCCCCCTTGTGCAGGTGATAAGTGGAACTTTGCCCCCTTGTGCAGGTGATAAGTGGAACTTTGCCCCCTTGTGCTGCTGGTAAGTGGAACTTTGCCCCCTTGTGCAGGTGGTCAGTGGAACTTTGTCTCCTTGGGCAGGTGGTCAGTGGAACATTGTTCCCTTGGGCAGGTGGTCAGTGAAACTTTGCCCCCTTGTGCAGGTGGTCAGTGGAACTTTGTCCCCTTGTGCAGGTGGTCAGTGGAACTTTGTCTCCTTGGGCAGGTGATCAGTGGAACTTTGCCCCCTTGTGCAGGTGATAAGTGGAACTTTGCCCCCTTGTGCTGCTGGTAAGTGGAACTTTGCCCCCTTGTGCAGGTGGTCAGTGGAACTTTGTCTCCTTGGGCAGGTGGTCAGTGGAACATTGTTCCCTTGGGCAGGTGGTCAGTGAAACTTTGCCCCCTTGTGCAGGTGGTCAGTGGAACTTTGTCCCCTTGTGCAGGTGGTCAGTGGAACTTTGTCTCCTTGGGCAGGTGGTCAGTGGAACTTTGTCTCCTTGGGCAGGTGGTCAGTGGAACTTTGTCCCCTTGTGCAGATGGTCAATCGAACTTTGCACCCCCTGTGCTGGTGGTCAGTGGAATCTGTTATTGTGGGGGTTTTTTTAGACAAAAGATGTTAATGTACGGTTTGTTTTTTCTAAACTAAAACCTCAGTATTCAGGTTTAATTGCAGTGTTGGCACTTTGCGATAAGTGGGTTTTGGTTTGCAGTTTGGGCACTCGGTCTCTAAAAGCCTCGCCATCACTGATCTACATGGTTGTCTCTTCTATCTCTGGGAGACTCTCAGGTTAAGATTAGTTGAGATCTGTGAGTTCATAGGTCTTCACACCTGTTGGGTTCATTATGAGGGGCTCGCAACATCCCTGATGGATTTTTTAAATTTTATATTATGGAAATGTAACAATAGGAGCTGGGACACACAATGGTAGGAAAGAACACTCAAAATACCCAGGAGGACAGGAGCAGGATGATAGCAGGGAGGTCCCACTCTTGGAGCATCTAAGACATATAAGAAGCCAGAGGCTGACTCATCAGCATCTATCTACATATATAAATCAAAGATTATCTAAGCGGTAATGTCTCCTTTATAATTCTAATTCATATTCAAAATTCTTTACTCACTTGTTGCATATCCAAAAATGACCACAGCCATTAGCCAGCAAAACCGTAGCAAGTCTCCAAAAATCATCTGCAGAAACCGAAATAGTTAGATTTTCTCATACACCAAATACAATGTACACATATCAGACTTCCAACAAGTATCAAGGTCAGATGTTATACTTCTCCATCCCTGTTGTGTGGCTCTGGTCTGCCTTTCTACCTCTTGGGTACAGTTCCTTCATTAATGCCTTACATAAAGCCAACCCATCATTTGCCTATAACATCCCTTAAAGTGTTCCTAAACCCACAACAGTACAATCAGTCTGTAGATGCAGTAAAGCATGCTTGGTATACTCACTGTGGAACCTAAGGGGTTAATACTATGCATTGTGTAAAAAGAATGTTTGACCCTGTCTTCTCTGATCCTCCTCTTCTTTTACTGTCCCCAATCAATTTGCTGGTAGAACAGAGCCTTGGGGGCAAGCTTCACATGCTCAGTTTGGTGTGTATTGCTAGAGAGTTTTTTTTTTCTTAGAAGGGTGCATGTGATCAGCACAGGGCCAATCAGAGCTGTCCAGAGAGAGGGTCAGGGGTCCTGCAGCCTCACAGGATAATCAGGGGAGAATGAAAACTCCTCCTTCGAGCTTTAACCAGTGCTCCACTGGACACTAATAGAAGTCACAAGACTGCTATATACTGCTGATGAGAAAAAGGTATTTAGCAGTTTATATTTACTAAAATAATTTAATTTCCATGTTGTGTGTACTGTGGGAGTCCGGATATAGTGAATGCAGGGTCGGGGGAGACCAGATATAGTGAATGCAGGGTCAGGGGAGACCAGATATAGTGAATGCAGGGTCCGGGGAGAGCGGATATAGTGAATGCAGGGTCGGGGGAGACCAGATATAGTGAATGCAGGGTCCGGGGAGAGCGGATATAGTGAATGCGGGGTCCGGGGAGAGCAGATATAGTGAATGCAGGGTCCTGGGAGAGCAGATATAGTGAATGCAGGGTCCAGGGAGAGCGGATATAGTGAATGCAGGGTCCGGGGAGAGCAGATATAGTGAATGCAGGGTCCGGGGAGAGCAGATATAGTGAATGCAGGGTCCTGGGTTAAGTAACACTCTAAAATTTATTAGTTGTTGTCAATGGCCTAACTTAAAGTAGATAACACACATCGCCCGTTTCCCAACACCTGAGTGTTTATAATAGCATCAGCATAGTCCTACAGTTATAGATAATCTAGTCCCCATTCTAATCCCCATGCATTCATTCACTCCTTACTTAAAACAAACCCGTCATTTGACTACGACACCCCTTAAGGCAGGGGTGTCCAAACTTTTTTCAAAGAGGGCCAGATTGGATGAAGTGAACATGGTGGAGGGCTGAACATTTTTCCAAACATTCTTTGAACCATTACAATTAAATGCAAATAAATTATTTTATGCCAAGTTACCGTATTTTTCGCCGTATAAGACGCACCTGACCATAAGACGCACCTGACCATAAGACGCACCTAGGTTTTAGAGGCAGAAAACAGGAAAAAAAAAAATCTGAACTAATGGACTGCAGACACAGTACAGGAGATGACCAGAGACTGCGGACAGCACAGGGATGACCAGAGACTGCGGACAGCACAGGGATGACCAGAGACTGCGGACAGCACAGGGATGACCAGAGACTGCGGACAGTACAGATGACTGCTGACCTTTGGGGAGGTGGGGAGTGGGTACCTGAATTTGACAGGTACCCGCTCTTACTTCCGCAGTTGTTCTTTGATCTTACCTGTTCCTCGATCCAGCCGCGCGCTGTCTTCCTGGCTTCTGTAATGGCACTCGGCATGACAGCCGGGTGCCCAGTGCGCATGAGCGAGAAGCACTTGCGCTTTGTGATTGGTCCGGCGGCTTCTGGGATCTGTCATGTGTCCCAGGTACCGCCTTACCATTCACAAAAAGCACCGCTTCTTGCGCATGCACACTTGGCACCCAGCTGTCATGCCCAGCGCCCACACTACAGAAGCCGGGAAGACAGCGCGCCGCTGGATAGAGGAACAGGTAAGGTCCCGCTGCAGAGCTGAGCGGCCGGCCCGGTATTCTGACACGGCCGCGGTGGAAATACCGGACCGGCTGCTCCATATTCGCTCCATAAGACACACTGACACACTGACATGGAGGGCCGTATTAAACCGACCCTCGGGCCGTAATTGGCCCGCGGGCCGGACTTTGGACATGCCTGCCTTAAGGTCTAATAGTTTGTACCCTGTTAATAGCCTAACCTCAAGTAGAAAACACGCTGCTCAAAAACATTAAAAGGAACACTTTGAAAACACATCAGATCTCAATGGGGAAAAATCTCCTGCTGGATATCTATACTGATATGGATGGGGTAATGTGTTAGGAATGTAAGGATGCCGCATTGTTTGAATTCAGTCCTCTGTAGGTTTATAATTTTCATTTCCATCAAAGACCCCTCAAAAATCAAAGTGAAAAAATGATGCAGCAGGCGAGTCCATTTTGCTGAAATTTCATTGCAGCAACTCAAAATGGTCTTCAGTAGTTTGTATGGCCCCCACGTTCTTGTATGCATGAGTGACAACATTGGGGGAGGCTCCTAATGAGACGACGGATGATGTCCTGGGGGATTTCCTTCCAGATCTGGATCAGGGCATCTCTGAGCTGGACAGTCAGGTGCAATCTGGCATCGTAGGATGATATCATGATATCCCAGAGGTGTTCTATTGGATTTAGGTCAGGTGAGCGTGGGGGCCATTCAATGGTATCAATTCCTTCATCCTCCAGGAACTGCCTGCATACTCTCGCCACATGAGGCCAGGCATGGTCGTGCACCAGGAGGAACCCAGGTCCCACTGCACCAGGAGGAACCCAGGTCCCACTGCACCAGGAGGAACCCAGGACCCACTGCACCAGCGTAAGATTTGACAATGGGTCCAAGGATTTCATCCCGATACTTAATGGCAGTCAGGGTGCCATTGTCTAGCCTGTAGAGGTCTGTGCGTCCCTCCATGGATATGCCTCCCCAGACCATCACTGACCCACCACCAAAACGGTCATGCTGAACGATGTTACAGGCAGCAGAACATTCTCCACGGCTTCTCCAGACCCTTTCACGTCTGTCACATGTGCTCAGGGTGAACCTGCTCTCATCTGTGAAAAGCACAAGGTGCCAGTGGTGGACCTGCCAATTCTGGTGTTCAATGGCAAATGCCAATCCAGCTCTATGGTGCCAGGCAGTGAGCACAGGGCCCACTAGAGGATTTCGGGTCCTCAGGCCACCCTCATGAAGTCTGTTTCTGATTGGTCAGAGACATTCACACCAGTGGTCTGCTGGAGATCATTTTATAGGGCTCTGGCAGTGCTCACCCTGTTCCTCCTTGCACAAAGGAGCCGATACTGGTCTTGCTGATGGGTTAAAGCCCTGTCTAGCTCTCCTAGTGTAACTGCCTGTCTCCTGGAATCTCCTCCATGCTCTTGAGACTATGCTGGGAGACACAGCAAACCTGGCAATGGCACATATTGATGTGCCATCCTGGAGGAGTTGGACTGCCTGCGCAACCTTTGTAGGGTCCAGGTTTGGCCTCATGTTACCAGTAGTGACACTGACCCTAGTCAAATGCAAAACTAGTGAAAAACAGTCAGAAAAGATGAGTAGGGAAAAAAATGTCAGTGGCCTCCACCTCTAAAACCATTTCTGTTTTGGGGGTCATCTCATTGTTGCCCATCTAGTGCACCTGTTGTTAATTTCATTAACACCAAAGCAGCTGAAACTAATTAACACCCTCCTCTGCTACTTAACTGACCAGATCAATATCCCAGGAGTGTAATCGACTTGATGCTATACTCTGATTAATAAGTGTTCCTTTAATTTTTTTGAGCAGTGTACATACAGTATCCCCATGTTCCCAACTCTTAACAGCATCAGCCAAGTCCTACAGGTATAGATAATCCCATCCCCAATGTGAGGGCCTTTGTTAATAGGCTTCTATTTGCGACAAGCAGATTTTGCATTCCTGTACAAGTCAATTGGATTGGAGAAAATCAGGTAAAATGCAGATCAGAGGTAGGTCAACCATAGGTCAAAGGCACCTATCAATGAATTCTGAATGATCTCAGAAGTATCTCAAACTGATTCATCAACCAAAGCCCATTGACACAGGCCTTAACTCTGCTATTTAATACTGGTAGGGGAAATAGCAGGTATACTTCCAACATTGAAAATTGCCGTGCAGCAGTGATTCTCGGTTTGAATCCCCCCCAGGACTATCTGCATGGGGTTTGCATATTTTTTCTGTACTTGTGTGGGTTTCCTCCCGGTACTCCTGTTTCCTCCCACACTCCAAAGACATGCTGGTAGGTTAACAGGCTCCTGCCTAGGCTGGCAGTAGTATGAGTGTGTATGCATTGGCGATATGGACCTTGGATTGTAGGTTCCTCGGTAAAATAAAAATAAATGAAAGACTTGCTCATCAGGACCCCTTTGTATTCCCTTTAGTTCATTTTATGGATATGTTGGAAAGAAAACTCTACAAAAAAGGGAACAATTTGCTTTGACAAGAATGTTTCCATCAAATGTGGAATAGACTCCCTCAAGAGTTGGTTCTGGCCAGCTCAGTGGATTGCTGTAAAAAAGTCCTGGATTCTTTCTTAGATACACAGAATATAACTGGATATAACATTTATAGGTAAAGTTGATCCAGGGAATATCCAATTGCCTCTCGGGGAAACAGGAAGGAATTTTTTTTCCCTGCAGGAGCAAATTGGATCGTGCTTTGCTGGGTTTTTCTTTGCCTTCCTCTGGATCAACTGTGAGTGTAGGATTATAACTTTTTTTTTTCTTCTATGGTTGAACTGGATGGAATTTTGTCTTTTTTCAGCCAGACTAACTATGTAATTCACAATACAACACAGCATTCTCTACATCAAACCATTCACATTATTGGGTCCTATCAGGTTGTGCATGTCCAACCCAAAGCTTACTGCCCTATTCTCAAGCCAACTTACTTTATGGATCATGATGGTGAACGGTCCCAGCATTTGGAATCCACGTGCAAAATACATGACGTAGCACCAGCCCAGCACAAGTAATATGGACATCGGCACCACCTCTCCACCCGTGTCAGTCACTCGGAGAACGAGGGTCGCAAGCACAAAACAAGGGAAGATGATTCTGTTGGCAGACAATATTTTAGTTGCTTTGCTCATATAGACAAAAGAAATATCCAAACCAAGAAATAAACATGAAAAAATGTACCTTTAGGTTTATTTAAAGTAGTTGGAAAAGCTAAGCACAGAAAAACAGCCCAATGGCACTGCCAACATTGCTATTTCAGTTTCTAGACCTTTTTTGATACTTTATTTATGGTCACGTGACCACATATCGTCACGTGGCATAGCCTTTGTCAGGGCTTTTTTTCTCAGAGAATAGGTTCAGGAACTCCGCTTTTTCTGGTTCTACCCCCTACCCACCTCTGAGCACCGTCCCTTGATTCCACCGCCTACCCACCTCTGAGCACCGTCCCTTGGTTCCACCGCCTACCCACCTCTGAGCACCGTCCCTTGGTTCCACCCCCTACCCACCTCTGAGCACCGTCCCTTGGTTCCACCCCCTACCCACCTCTGAGCACCGTCCCTTGTTTCCACCGCCTACCCACCTCTGAGCACCGTCCTTTGGTTCCACCCCCCTACCCACCTCTGAGCACCGTCCCTTGATTCCACCGCCTACCCACCTCTGTCCCTTGGTTCCACCCCCTACCCACCTCTGAGCACCGTCCCTTGGTTCCACCCCCTACCCACCTCTGAGCACCGTCCCTTGGTTCCACCCCCTAGTAACAGTACCACTCCTTTCTGAAAATACAGAACCAAGTATCATTTTGTGGTGCTAAGTATTTTTTTTAAATAACAAGAAAAGCAGTAAGATAGATACCCTGCAGACAGCAACAATAGAAAATCCCCCCCAGCCACAAAAGATCCCCCAACAATAGACCCCCCCACACACACACAACAGTAGACTCCCCCACCAACAATGGACCCCCCACAACAAAATACCCACCCCAGCAATAATATCCCCCCAGCAGCAACAACAGCCAACATCAATAGACCTCTCTTTCAACAGTAGATCCCTCCTAGCAACAATTGACCACCCCCACCTCAGCAACATAAGACCCCTCTCCCCCAGGAACAATAGATTTCCCACCAGCAAAAATAGATCCCCCCAGGAAAAATAGACACTCCCAGCTACAATAGACCCTCCTCAACAAAATACCACCCTAGCAACAACAGATCTCCCAGCAGCCAGCACCAATAGAACTCTCCCTCAACAGATCTTTCCCAGCAACAATAGACCCCAGCAACATAAGACCCATCTCCCCCAAGGCAATAGATTTCTCATCAGTAACAATAGACCCCCCAGCAACAATAGATCCCACAGGAAAAATAGACTCTTCCAGCTACAATAGACCCTCCTCAACAAAATACCACCCTAGCAACAACATCTCCCAGCAGCCAGCACCAATAGAACTCTCCCCCAACAGATCTCTCCCAGCAACAATAGACCCCAGCAACATAAGACCCCTCTCCCCCAAGGCAATAGATTTTCCACCAGCAACAATAGATCCCCAACAACAATAGACCCCCCCAGGAAAAATAGATTCTTCCAGCTACAATAGACCCTCCTCAACAAAATACCACCCAAGCAACAACAGATCTCCCAGCAGCCAGCACCAATAGAACTCTCCTTCAACAGATCTCTCCCAGCAACAACAAACCCCAGCAACATAAGAGCCCTCCACCTTAGCAACTATATATCCCCCATCAGCAACAATAGACCTCCCCAGAAACAACAGATCCCTGCACAAAAA